TTCCTTGTGTCTCCGTCTTGTCTCCTTGTGTCTCCTTATGCCTCCATTTTGTCTCCTCGTGTCTCCTTGTGTCTCCGTCTTGTCTCCATTTTATCTCCATTTTGTCTCCGTCTTGTCTCCTTGTGTCTCCGTCTTGTCTCCTTGTGTCTCCATTTTGTCTCCGTCTTGTCTCCTTGTGTCTCCGTCTTGTCTCCTTGTGTCTCCTTGTGTCTCCGTCTTGTCTCCTCGTGTCTCCTTGTTCTTGTCTCCTTTGTCTCCTTGTCTCCGTCTTGTCTCCTCGTGTCTCCTTGTGTCTCTCTTGTCTCCTTGTGTCTCCTCGTGTCTCCTTGTCTCCTCTTGTGTCTCCTTGTGTCTCCGTCTTGTCTCCTCGTGTCTCCTTATGCCTCCGTCTCCGTCTCCTTGTCTCCTTGTGTCTCCGTCTTGTCTCCTTGTGTCTCCTTGTGTCTCCGTCTTGTCTCCTTGTGTCTCCGTCTTGTCTCCTTGTGTCTCCTTGTCTCTCTCTCCTTGTGTCTCCTCTTGTCTCTCTCTTATTGTCTCCGTCTTGTCTCCTTGTGTCTCCGTCTTGTCTCCTTGTGTCTCCTTGTGTCTCCGTCTTGTCTCCTTGTGTCTCCGTCTTGTCTCCTTGTGTCTCCTCTCTGTCTCCTTATGCTTCCGTCTTGTCTCCTTGTGTCTCCGTCTTGTCTCCTTGTGTGTCCGTCTTGTCTCCTTGTGTCTCCGTCTTGTCTCCTTGTGTCTCCGTTTTGTCTCCTTGTGCCTCCTTGTGTCTCCGTCTTGTCTCCTTGTGTCTCCTTGTGTCTCCTTGTGTCTCCGTCTTGTCTCCTTGTGTCTCCGTCTTGTCTCCTTGTGTCTCCGTTTTGTCTCCATTTTATCTCCATTTTGTCTCCGTCTTGTCTCCTTGTGTCTCCTCGTGTCTCCGTCTTGTCTCCTTGTGCCTCCTTGTGTCTCCGTCTTGTCTCCTTGTGTCTCTGTCTTGTCTCCTTGTGTCTCCTCGTGTCTCCGTCTTGTCTCCTTGTGTCTCCGTCTTGTCTCCTTGTGTCTCCGTCTTGTCTCCTTGTGTCTCCTCGTGTCTCTGTTTTGTCTCCTTGTGTCTCCGTTTTGTCTCCTTGTGTCTCCATCTTGTCTCCTTGTGTCTCCGTCTTGTCTCCTTGTGTCTCCTTGTGTCTCCTTGTCTCCGTCTTGTCTCCTTGTGTCTCCGTCTTGTCTCCTTGTGTCTCCGTCTTGTCTCCTTGTGTCTCCGTCTTGTCTCCTTGTGTCTCCTTGTGTCTCCGTCTTGTCTCCTTGTGTCTCCTCTGTGTCTCCTTGTGTCTCCGTCTTGTCTCCTTGTGTCTCCGTCTTGTCTCCTTGTGTCTCCATCTTGTCTCCTCGTGTCTCCGTTTTGTCTCCGTCTTGTCTCCTTGTGTCTCCGTTTTGTCTCCTTGTGTCTCCGTCTTGTCTCTGTCTTGTCTCCTTGTGTCTCCTTATGTCTCCGTCTTGTCTCCTTGTGTCTCCGTTTTGTCTCCTTGTGCCTCCTTGTGTCTCCGTCTTGTCTCCTCGTGCCTCCCTCTTGTCTCCGTCTTGTCTCCGTCTTGTCTCCGTCTTGTCTCCTTGTCCCTCGGAGACGTCTCGCTCCCTCTGAACCCTTCCCGATGCTCATTTGTCTCTGACCGCTGTCGTTTCTTTCCATGTCAAACCTTTTTTTTTTTTTTTTTTTCTCTCATTTGCGCCTCTCCTCCGTCACTCTCTCCATCTCTCTCGTCTTCACCTTTCTGTCTCTTTTCATACATATCATTTTCTTCTCTTCCCGCCTCTCGTCTCTTTCCATCTCTCCATCTTTCCGTTTATGAATTCATACTTTTCTTATTTTTTTCCCTTCACCCTCTCCTTCCCTCTCTCCGTAATTCTTCTCTTCTTTTTTCCCATTAATTCATATATTTTCTTCTTTCCGTTTTCGCTTTCTTCCTCCGCTCATCTTTCTCTCTCTTGTTATTCATCCCTTGCTTTCCATCTCTCCCTCCTTCTCTATCTTTACAGTTTCTCTCCATTTCTCTCTCTCTTCCCCTTACCATCTGTTGTCCACTTCTCTTTGTCTCACTCTATCCCTCCTTCTCTCTCCTCCTCTCCCCCCTATCTTTTTTCTTCTCCCTCGCTCCTTCCTCCTCCTCTCCCACTCCCTTTCTCTTCCTGAAATGAACGGGAAGAGAGGGAAGGAGAATTATGGAGAAAGGAAGAGACGCTCTCTCCCTCTTTCTCTCTCTCTGTCACTCTCTTTATCTCCCTCTTTCTCTATCTTCTCTCTCTCTCTCTCCTTTGTTCCCTGTCTCTCCCTCTCTGTCTCTCTTCTCTCTCTCTCCCTCTCTCTCCTTTATTTGTCTCTTTCTCTCCTTCTCTTCTCTCCCTCTCTCCTTTGTCTCTTTCTCCCCCTCTCTTCTCTCTCTCTCTCTCCCTCTCTCCTTTATTTGTCTCTTTCTCTCCCTCTCTTCTCTCCCTCTCTCCTTTGTCTCTTTCTCTTTTTCACCCCCTCTTTTCTCTCTCGTTTCTCTCTCTCTTTTTGTCTTTCTCTTCCTCTCTCCTTTGTCTCTCTCTCTCTCTTTTTCTCTCTCTCATTTCTCTCTCTTTGTTTTTCTCTCCCTTTCTCCTTTGTCTCTCTCTTTTTCACCCCCTCTCTTCTCTCCCTCTCTTGTTTGTCTCTTTGTCTTTCTCTCTCTTTCATTTCTCTCTCTTTGTCTTTCTCTCCCTCTCTCCTTTGTCTCTTTCTCTCTTTTTCACCCCCTTTTCTCTCTCGTTTCTCTCTTTTTGTCTTTCTCTCCTTTGTCTCTCTCTCTCTTTTTCACCCCCTGTTCTCTCTCGTTTCTCTCTTTTTGTCTTTCTCTCCCTCTCTCCTTTGTCTCTTTCTCTCTCTCTCTCTCTGTCTCTCTCTCATTTCTCTCTCTCTTTGTCTTTCTCTCCCTCTCTCCTTTGTCTCTTTCTCTCTCTCTCTCTCTGTCTCTCTCTCTCATTTCTCTCTCTCTTTGTCTTTCTCTCCCTCTCTCCTTTGTCTCTTTCTCTCTCTCTGTCTCTCTCTCATTTCTCTCTCTTTGTCTTTCTCTCCCTTTCTCCTTTGTCTCTTTCTCTCTTTTTCACCCCCTCTTCTCTCTCTCGTTTCTCTCTCTCTTTTTGTCTTTCTCTCTCTCTCTCTCTCATTTCTCTCTTTGTCTTTCTCTCTCCTTTGTCTCTTTCTCTCCCTCTCTTTGTCTTTCTCTCTCTCTCTCATTTCTCTCCCTCTTTGTCTTTCTCTCTCTCTCTCTCTCTCCCTCTCTCTTTGTCTCTGTCTCTCCCTCTCTCTTTGTCTCTCTCTCATTTCTCTCTCTCTTTGTCTTTCTCTCCCTCTCTCCTTTGTCTTTCTTTTCACCCTCTCTCTTCTCTCTCTCTCTCTCTCTCGTTTCTCTTCTCTTTGTCTTTCTCTCTCTCTCTCTCTCTCTCTTTCTCTCTCTCTTTCTTTTCACCCCCTCTCTCTCTTCCTCCCCACATTCGTTCCATAATCTGTATCTCTCCATCTCTCCTTTCCTCTTCTCTCCCGTCTCTCTCTCTCCCTCCATTCTTACCCTTTCATTCTTATTTCATCTCCTCTCTTTCTCCTCTCCTCCATCCTTCCCTCCCTCCATCCCTGTCAGTATTTGTCTTCCGTCTGTGTCCACACGTTCCGCCGCCGTTCGATCGTCTTCTCCAAACTCCACATTTCCTCCTCGTCCTCCCTCCGCTCCCTCGCTTTTCTCATCATTTCATCTCTGTGTTGTCCACCACCACTTAATAAATAATGAGCCTTTGATGGATTCCTCTCTCTCTCTTCTCCTTCTCCTCCTCCGTCATCCCTCCGTCTCCTCTCCTCCACCTCTTCTCGTCGTCTTGTCACATCTCCGACGTCTTCCCTCTCTCCTGCACATGTCCAATTTTCTCTTCACTAATGTTTTCTGGTCGGCTGATCTCTCCGTTCTCGTCTCCGTCTTGACACTCGTGACACTGTCTTCACTTTTGATTCCAACTTTTTTTCTTTTTTTTTTTTTTTTCTTCCTCCTTCGGGTCGAGCCGCACGAGTTCGGAATTTTATAGGAATTTGCAAACGCTTCAAATATTTCCCCTAAAAATATTTGTAATAGATTGTTTAACTTTTCCGGTGGAGGGAGCGCTTCATTATCGCTTTATTGCGTTATTGCTTTGTCTGGAATGTTCCGCAGTATGGCTTTAAACCTTTCTGTCATCACGGAAACCAAGCCAGACAGAGTCGCAGGTCAGATCTGTGGAGAGGCGATCCCACAGAGTCAGAATTTACGTTTTTCGAGGTGTTTTTGAGCCGTAAAACCTGCACCTGTGATTGAATAAATGTAAAGTCGAGCTGCGGAACATTCCGGGCAGAGCAGTGACGTATCCATAGAAACAAGCAGGTGACGGGCTCCCCCAAACGAAAAGTGACACAATGTCCACGTTTACATGATGTTTTTTTTAATTCCGAATTAATTGTTCTGAGTTAATGGTTCTAAATTCAAAATATTCTCCTTCGAGTTCACACGACAATAGTAATTCCGAAACATTTCCGTACAATTTTTTATTTTGAATTTCAAATTAAGAATTAAAAATAATAAAATGGGAAAACTGTTTATTTCATTGTTCTGTTTTAGTGTCAAAAAAAAAGGAAAAGATTTCCTCTCTTTATTCTCTCTTTATTATTAGTCTGTCTACATCTCTAATGCTCAAAATGCTCTGCTCCACCTTGTGATGTCATCAAGTTGTAATTTTTAGGTTATAACATTATAATATTGTACTTTATACATCATAATCCTGTTCAATGGGCCCTTTATAATCTTGCCAGTCTTAAAGGCGCTGATTTTTACTGTCTGAAAATGACAAAAAATTTTGTTTTTTTTCTCATTTTCAAATTGTACAGATATTTTTGTAGATATTTAGATCCCTCATTTGAATACAGATTATCCAGAAAGGCTTTCAACGCGATAACTATAACAATGACTCTTCTTCTTCTTTTGTTTCAG